CTGAGCATCTGTTTAAAAGGCAAGAAGGAACTATCTGTGCGTTGCATGCCTCCTTCTTTCTCTTCATGACAAGTAATTTCATTAAAATCACCTATCATAAACCAAGATCCATTTCTTGTTGTTGAGAAACGCGTAAGACGTTCCAAACTAAATCTTTTCTTTCTACTACAAGATCCCCGTAAACAAATGTCATATAGAATTTTATTCCATCAATGACTGCCTCAATGTCAATCATTCTGTTATTTGAAAATAAAACATTAACTTGAAATTCATCCATAAAAAACAAAGCTAAACCTCCGCTGAGTCCAAGTGGCTCAACGGTAAACAAATGATCAAATCCTAAGTCGGCATGAATGTCTTGCAACAGCAGCCTCCTATTTTCATCTCAAAAAGAAACACAAGTCCTGGGCGATGCTTCTGACACATCTCCGTAAGGCGTCGAACTGTGAGGTCGCTTCCAATCTCTCGACAGTTCCAACTGAGTGTCTTCATGGATGAGCTTTTGATGGGTATTTGGAACCGATCAAAACCTCTCTTTTGTTTGACACACGCCCACTATTCTTCCCCACATGTCTGCTACTCGTATTCTTGTCATTGCCTCTTGGTCCAAGGGATTTCATTACCACTGAGCGTGGTGATCCCCGACAAAGAAATTCTGTTTTCTTACTTTGAATACCCAAAGGGATATTCATCCTCAATGGCCTGTTAGTGGCCCAGCGAGACGTGGAACTCTCTGGCACTGATCAAACTCTAGTCTCCTCCATTTCCTTGAGTTCTTCCCCCAACAGATCAAAGTCTTGACCCTCGATTTCCAGCACTCCACCTTCAGATTGCTCCTCATCATTCAAGGATTCTATCATTTGATCATTTTCCAAGCAATTAACTTCAACTTGAAGGCTATTTGGTGAAAAGGTTAAAGCTCTTGTTGCCCCTTTTCTCTGATGGTGATGTTTCCCTCATGCACATGAGCTATTCCAGTTGGGGAGACAATAGCACTCGCAAGCCTCCTCCCTGAAGTACTTGTCTTTCCCTCATCAATAGCATTGCGAGATATAGATGTCGTAGCAAGCGCTGGGCCATCTGATCCAGCTGGTTGCCCATAGGGAGCAACACTATTATCTCCTAAAGGTGTAGAAGATCTTCGATGTCTCTCATCCCTCTCTTCCCCTGATACTCCATCCTTTGTTTTCTAGCGCCAAACATGATCATTATGTCTCTTGTATGGGTCTGCCCTGTGACGAGTGTCTTTCTGTTGAGATGATTTACGGTCCTCCCGTGATCTCATGACCCTATCCTTGTGAGAAGTTACATGTTGACCATATCTGCTTCGTCGAGCATCATACTCGTCATGGTTTCTCTGACCATAACAATACGGAGAACTAGGATGCCGAGAGCTCCTATTTTTGTCAACGATAGGGATATGTCTATAGCTGTCCCCATCACTTCGACCTTTGTTCTCCTGTCTCGAGCGCATGGACAGATCCTGAGGCGCATGTACCCGCAAGAATACATCACCACGTCCAGCTTTAGTGTTGTCCCGTGGTTCATCCAAACATTGGCCTTTTTCATGTGACATAAGGCCACAAGTAGTGAAATGTTTAAACAAGAGCTCATATTTGATTTCAATAGAAACCTCATCTCCCTCAGGTGATTGTACTTGTCTTTTAAACTTCAAAGGCTTCCTAAAATCTACAAAAATTAGCATGCGTCCCTCTGTTTAACTCAATGGTATCAACATCTCCAATCCGGCCACCTATGTTTCTCAAGTTCTTTTCTGTCCAGAGGTGCAAAGGCATCCCAACAATTGAGACCCAGAATGGAATAATCCTTGGATAGTCATCATGCACAATAGGTTCCCAGTGCACCAGCACGAACATATAAAAGTTAAAATGAAAAGGTCCTTGGCGCAAGACGTGATTCAGATCTTCTTTACAGACGAAGTTAAAAGGAAACTTCCCATTTCCCAAGTCATTTGCAGTAATCCGATCTTGGACACCCCATTGAGAAGGCATCTTCTCTATCAACTTAATGACATTCTGCTTCCTAGGGTTTAAAATTTTTCCGATCAATGACATGCGGTGTCCCTTGATGACAAAGGAATCATCTTGATCAATTAACTTGATTGGAGAGTCATCATCAGCGTAAAGAATCCCATTTCCCTTAGTGTCCGTCTGATGGACAGATCGGGAGTGATTTTCATGACCCATACTTATGATATGGGTTATGGTATCCAATGGCGAGAAACACAAAACTGGAACGATGTGATCGATGGTATGCTGAGCGATGATGAGTGAAGAGGAAGTCAACAGAAGAAGAGGAAGTCGACGTCAGGAGATGATGAGAAGAAGTCACTGTGGCGGGAGAGGAAGTCGTCGTCTTTGCCGTAATGATGAAGATTGTGGGATACGGAATCGAAGCAAAACAAAACAGCCACATAAACATGTGATAAGGGTCGGTCTAATCCGTTGGCCTATGTGATCACCAAGGGGTGATTCAAACAGCAACGTCCTTGTCTCCTTCCTTCAATTCGACCCCAAGAACGCACATAGAAAGGTTAGGTTTTTTCTGTTGACAAAACAATCTCCAAACAATGAGGAACCGCAGACGAGGATCTCCCTTACAAATCTAACACCAAAGAGTGTTGAGATCTATGCTCAAAGAGGTGCATCTAGGGCTGGACTCCTTGTCGCCATTCTTGTCGCCGTTAGAGAACTAGAATATTGATTTGAACACATGCATGATGCAGAGAAAAATAAACAGAATTTGAACTCATATTGATATTTCTGTGGTTTAAAGTTAAAAAAGATAAATGATAAATGTCACGAAGGACTAATCCCCTATATATTAATTGAGAATCATTTAAAAAGTTGTAACCTTAAATTTGTAATAATTAAAAATAACTTCAATCCTATGTGGCATAGCTCTTTGGATTCTATTTCAAATCCCAAAGATTCTAGAGCATGTGATATAATATATAGTCTAAAATTTATACTCTCTAGCAATGTAATATTTTGGGCGCTATAGTTGGTCGCATATATCAAATATTTATTGTTCCGCATACTTTCCTTAAATAAAACCTACGGAATTACCTAATGTGATTAAAATATATATATATGACAATTAATGATTTTAAACAATAAAGAGTTGATAACAATCTGTATACTTTTTCTCATTTTGTTTATTTATTTATTATTAAAATAAATTATAATTACATTAATCATATAATAAAAATCTAGATTTTTTTTTGTGTATGTTGTATTTCGAATTTTTCAAAATGAGTATAAATTACTAAAACTGTTAAAAATCTCTCCTAAAATTTTAGGATCAAGGTTTTTTTTCTATATTAAAATATAATGATTATAAGACCATATAAAATAATTTTAATTATATATACTTCATATCGTATGAAAATACATACTTATATTTTGATATTTGAATTGAACATATATTGAAAAGTTAATATTTTAATTTCAAAATATGTCATTGATTTTTAAAAATGATTATAAATTATTGAAACTACTAAACATCTCACATTAAAAAAAATTCGCTGGTGTGAAGTTTTGTTACACAAATATGCAAATAATCATAAAATCATATGAGTAAAAACCTCATTTAATAAATATACATATTGAAAGTGTGCTATATTAATATGTTTATATCATTTAAATTTAATTATATATCATATGCAATATATAAGATTGATTATTTTGATTTATTTACCCTAATTGCGAATAAACAAGAGTGATAGGTAAATTAATATGCATATGCCAATTTATTACATAATAGTAACTGATTGCTTAGTTATTTAAGATATATATTTATTATTTTATAATATGCAGAAAAATATAAAATAAATAATAAATATAAAATATTTATTGTGCATAAAGTGCAGATCTTAACTTAACTATGTATCTCTTTAATTATTTTAAATCTTAAGTATTTTCTAAATACCAGGTCAAAACAAACAAACGAAATGAGAATAAACTTCAAATAAATATTTATATCGAGTAATAACCAAAAAAAAACACAACAAGAGAAAAAATTGAAGATAAATAGGATTGACACGTGAACGTAAACTTCTCATAACCATAATTAGTTTTTAAATTGTTAAATCATGATATAAAACTGAGTTAATGTTTAATTTGTTAATTTTTAAAATTTTTAAATCATTATGGTTATGTTAAATTGTTTATTTGTATTTGAAAAATTTAAAATATTGTTTTTAAAAATAATTTAAAATTTAACTTATTTTTTTCTAAAATTATATTTTTAAAATTTTTAAAAAATATAATTTTCTAATATTATTAGACAAATAAATAAATTATATTAAATTAGTTTTGGAACTTATATATTTTAAATGCAAATATTTTACCAACTGCTTCTTAAGAGAGCATTAGAGAACTTGCTAATACTCTACCAATCAAGCCCAGTGACACTTCGTTTATTTTCCATCGCTCGAACATTGAAAAATGAAAAGATAATATGAAGTTGGGTCCATTAAATTCTAAGCTTTGATCTACAGTTCTAATTACAATTGTTTCTGATCCTACTTATATATAATTATATAAAAATTTCAAATACATATAAAAACAATCATATGTAAATTTTAAATTTTTCAATACTAAAATTTTATATTTTAACTACATGTATTCGCCCTGCGCAAGGCGCAAGTCTTATCCTAGTACATTAATTAAACTAAAGGCAAACAACAATTAAATAGAGTTCTGTCTAAAGCCCAAAGGAAGTGGTCTGAGAGTTTTGGCATATTGGGCCTTTAGTAGGGTAGTGTGGTTGAATCTCACAATACTCGCGTTTGCACGAGGTTTGGAGAAATTGGCAGAAACGTGGTTCCTCTACAGTGTCTGGCTTTGGTTGAAAACTCTTCATCCGAAACGCCAAATAATTTTAAGCGTTGATCAAGTAAATGACAATTATACCCTTAGTTATGTCTCAGAAATTACCCTTTGTCTTCCCAACCAAGACAGAATAAGAATAATCATCGACGCTTCTTTTACTCTTCCGTCGTCCAAGGTTTTTGGTTTCTCCCACAATCCCATAGACGACGACGACGATTCTGCCGGAGTGAGTTTCTTGCCCAATTCGTTTATGTGTGTTCTTTTAATCAGATCTAGTTTAGTTCTGTGGTTTCGATTCACTTTGATTTCAAATCTTAGTTCTCCGAATTGGTAGATTAGTTCGAAGATGTTCCAAGCTTACATCTTACACTGATGAGTACGCAGAATTAAATACCACATCTTTGTAGAAACTAGATAAAGCGATGAAATTGATCTGAACAGTATATTGATTTCATCTTCTTACTTAAAAATTAGAATTACAGTTGTGTTTTGCTTGTCTTTGATGGATCTCTTTGTTCTTTTCTTGGTGATTTACCAAACAATCTTGTTATTGTATCGTTAAAGGAGTTGTTTTCTTTTTCCTTTTTTTGAAACATTGTGTAAACAAATCGATGGCTCTTGTGTTACAGGGGTTTGAGTTTTTGCATTAACCACACACAATGGTTTCGTATCCTGCTACGACCGAGACCATCTCTCTGGCCCTTGAAGCCAACAGCTCAGAGGCTATCCACATACTTTACCAAGTCCTGGAAGACCCTTCCTCATCTCCAGAGGCTCTCCGTGTCAAAGAGCAAGCCATTACCAACCTCTGCGATCGTCTCACTGAAGAGAAGAGAGGCGAGGATCTCCGTACACTGTTGACCAAGCTGAGACCTTTCTTTTCTCTTATCCCCAAGGCCAAAACTGCGAAAATCGTGAGAGGGATCATCGACGCCGTGGCCAAGATACCTGGAACTACTGATCTCCAGATCACTCTCTGTAAAGAGATGGTGGAATGGACTCGCGCTGAGAAGAGGACTTTCCTCAGGCAGAGAGTTGAGGCTAAGCTTGCAGCTCTTTTGATGGAGAACAAGGAGTATGTTGAAGCTTTGGCTCTGCTGAGTACTTTGGTGAAAGAGGTTAGGAGGTTGGATGATAAGCTTCTTCTTGTTGACATTGACTTGTTGGAGAGTAAACTTCACTTCTCGTTGAGGAACTTACCAAAAGCAAAAGCTGCATTAACCGCAGCTAGGACTGCTGCTAACGCTATCTATGTTCCACCGGCGCAACAAGGTACTATTGATTTACAGAGTGGGATTCTTCACGCTGAGGAGAAAGATTACAAAACGGGATACAGCTACTTCTTTGAAGCCTTTGAGTCTTTCAACGCTCTGGGTGATTCAAGAGCTGTTTTCAGTTTGAAATACATGTTGTTGTGTAAGATCATGGTCAGCCAAGCTGATGATGTTGCGGGAATAATCTCCTCAAAGGCGGGGCTCCAGTACGTTGGTCCTGATCTAGATGCTATGAAGGCAGTGGCTGATGCACACTCAAAGAGGTCGTTGAAGCTGTTTGAGAACGCTCTCCGTGACTACAAGGCGCAGCTAGAGGATGACCCGATTGTCCACAGGCATTTATCTTCTCTCTACGACACGCTTTTGGAGCAAAACCTGTGCCGTTTGATTGAGCCCTTCTCACGAGTTGAGATAGCTCACATCGCTGAGCTGATTGGATTACCGGTTGACCATGTGGAGAAGAAGCTATCTCAGATGATTCTTGACAAGAAATTTGCGGGGACTTTGGACCAAGGAGCCGGTTGCCTCATCATATTTGAAGATCCAAAGGCGGATGCTATCTACTCGGCTACTCTTGACACCATTGAGAACATGGAGAAGGTTGTTGACAGCCTTTATGTCAGGTCTGCCAAAATCATGGCATGAATGAGTGATTGAGTTCGTGTTCTGAATCACATTCCATCTCTTTTTTTTACTCTTTTTTTTTTTTTGGTTTCTTAGTTAATCGTTTGGACTCGAAAGAAACTGATGATTCTCAATGGTGAGAGTGAAACTATTTGTCTTTACTGCTTAAAGTTTTAGGATTTGTTTACGTATGGATGTTTCAGTTACCTTCGCTTTTAACTCTGAATGGTTTATTTATTTACTTGCTGTGCATTTATAAGGTTCTGACCAACCAAGAAGTAAATTCACAGGATCCCACCATTTCGTTTACCAAAGCAGGACATGACTTGAACACAAGTCTTAGTTTTGTTGTCTCTTCTGTCTCGTTCTTTAATGTGCTTTTGCATATCTGCTAACTGCGTTACCTGTTGTTGACTAGTTTGGTTTTATACGGAAATGATCTTCTTTGCCTTGGGAGGGTCTTAAAGTTTGTTGCCGTTACAGAGTCGAATCACATGTTATTCTAACACTATAATATAATGGGTGACATACTAATACCATCCATTAATGCTTGATCCTAGTATACAATTTTACCGGTTAGAGATTTCGTTAAGATTTAAGATTAGTGTGTTATTTCCAAGTTAATTATTCTCACTATTCTAAAATGCTTTCTATTAGGTTCTTTTTTTTGCTACTCTTTTGAATGCATTTTAATGTTTTTTTTTTTCTAATGATCAATGGTCTTATTGGAAACACAACATTTAGAATGTCCCACTTTTGTTCATTATTTCTTTATTCACAGTAAAAAATTATACACTGCTATTTTGTAGGTCCAACATTTTGTTTGCTGCTGAAAAGTGGAAACTTAAATGACCAATTGAATGGGTTTCTTGGTTTAAACTTTAAAGTTTTACTCCTAGACTAGCTAGAGTAATGTCCAAGATCTTCGATTAAACTTTACGTACACTTTATCAGAAAACTAAACTTTTTATTGGTAAGTTGACAAAAAAAGATTGATGAGAAATAACATTATCCATGAAGCTAATCTGATCAACATTAATTAATTATACCATACAGATCTTGGAATAAGTTGTTTAAAGGGTTAAATTATGGTCAACATTACCGTTTTTCTTTATAGCAGAAAAATCCCACGAGCTTCAATTTACAACTACAATTTTTCAACAAGAGAAATTAAAAAAGAAAAGCGACAGCTGTTAAGTAGATAAGCAAGTACTTAGACCTCCTAATTAATTAATTAATTAATTAACTAGTTAATTTCTGTTGCTAGCCTGTACGTACCAGTAAGCAAATCAAAGCAAACATAACACGTTCTTTCTACTGGGCTATATCCAAACCCAAACCCAAACCCGAAACAAGAACCAATAATATGAAAAAGAAAATTAACAAGATTGACCATCGGTGTAGCAACGGAGTCTCTTCACCGGAAAATCATGCCGGAAACCACCGTGAGAAGCCGCTGCTCTCCACTCTTCCACTAGCAAAGCGTCAAGCTCGACCTGATCAACGGTTCCAGTCGCAGCAGACCCAAGCAACTCTGCGAACCCACCGACACGACCCGGAGGTTTGGCTTTTCGACGACCGGCGCCGACGGGAACATTCCGGAGAGCTCCACCGGCGGTCCAGTAACGTTGACAACCTTTGCAGAAGTGTCTTGGTTGATTAACGTTGTAGTTATTGAAGTAACAGAACTTAGTCTCCATGCTCTTGCATCTCGGACATGGTATGATCTTGTCTGGACGCTTCTCAGCCGTTAGATCCGATGATGATGATGGCGATCTAACGGCTGGTTTTGTTTGTATCTCTGGCTGTTGTTGCTGCTCTTCTTTCTTGATCGTGTGTGTGAGATTATTGGCGTTGAGTGTTATGGTTTTGCCGAAGAGTTTAATCCCTTGGGAATCTTGGGTCGCCATTAAAACAAGAAGAGAGATAGAGATGAAAGAAGAGTTGTGATTAAGATGAAAGAGAGAAGACTTTATAGGAAGAAGATTTTGATTTTGATTTTCTTTCACTTCTTAAAAAGATTTATGAAAACGTTATTATTATATCGTTTTCGTGGGAAAGAAGAGAAAAGCAATAGTTTTGTTTAAAGAATATGTTTGGCACATTTACTGCTCACTGCTTTCAAAAATATATCAAATATCGATTCATATCATTAGCTGACAAAATGTGAGTGTTATTTTTCGTTTTTTCCCTCCAAGGTTGTGTATTCACTATTCAGTACAGTCTCCGTATATTTCATCAGAAAGGTTTTCCTGCTGTTTAACCTTTTTCATGACTTTTATCAAGATTTATGGAATAATGGCATTAGTTGTGTTGTTGTAAAACTTGGAGAAAAAAAACAATACCGTTGATTAAACGGTATAGAAGTATAACAAGTCGTTAGAATGCTCAGTACTATAAGAATATCTCTAAAAAGGAACATCATTTTGAAAGTTGAGAATCTTCAAAATGAAAGTTTGAGGATAGGTTATTCCGAGAAGAAATCTCAAATTTATCTTATTTTTTTTATATTATTTGCATCTAATGTCTAACTTCAAAATAAACTAATTATAATCATTAAACTTTATATAGATAGATAATACTACATATTAAAAAAATTAAATACTATTGTTTTAGATTAATTTTTATTTTATTTTAGTATATTTATATATTTTATGTATTAATTATACATATATATATAAGATATATTTGAATATTTTGGACAAATATAGTTATAAAATATAGTAATAAGGAGTAGATTGACAAAAATAATATAAATATAAATATATGTAAGTTACAAAATTATAAAAACTATATTATAAAGTAAATAGTGTTTTGAATGCATGAACAGTGAACCATCAAATTTGAGAGTCTACTGTTTATGTCTTCAAAATTTAATGATTTGAAGATCACTTAGAAAGTCAAAATATCAAAATTTGAGAATTTAAAGATCTCTTACAGGTGCTCTAACTTAATGGTAAATAAGCTTAGTATAGTGACTTACAAATTTTCAAATGGTTTTTAGATAAACAAACTCATACAATATTTTTACGATTTTATCCAAAAAGGTTAAAAGATGTATGTGTGCATTTTATGAGCATTCTTATTAATATATTTTCTGAATTGTGCAAAAAATATATGTCACCATTAAAAACCTATTTTTCTCCATATAAATATAAATATATTTAAAACTAGAAGCATCAAAATATATTTAAAGTTAGAAGAATCAATCATCCATTCTTCTCAATTTCATAGTTGACTAATTGACATTTTAAATGACTCAATCTTTGGTACCACGAGCGGAGAAAATTGAGTAAGGTGAGTCTCACTTTTGCTTTGCTGCTAAAGTGTAAGTAAGGATTTCAGTCATTTGACGTACAGTTGTTTGATGCCAAGACTTCAATATGAGATAAAAATGCAAGGAGAATTTTGTTTATACATAATTGAGCTTATTTAACGTGAATTTAACCCGTACGGATCATGATCTAGAATTTTTTAAATCCACTAACCAATATTATTTCATAAATCTGCACGGATTTTATTTTTTGGATGTACTTTATATAATTTAGTTTTATATAGTTTCGAGTTTGTCTACCTCAGTTTTATATAGTTTCGAGTTTAAAGAACAATGTTAAAATTATCTTTTGTATTAAAAGTTTCAAACACTGTATTATTAGATATAACCGTGTGTTAAAAAAATAAGTTAGGAGTTTGGTTATTTCTGATGTTAATAATTATCCAAAATTTTTAAAGTAATATACAAATTTCTGAAATTTCTGGCCTTAACGTTTATTTTATAGGTTAGGTAAATTCAAACTTAACTTTGGTCTTAAATTTGTAAATGCATAATATTTTATGATGAACAATTTCATAAAACTTAATAAGATTTGGTAATTTGAAAGAATTTATGAATTTAATTTTTTTTTGCTTTTAAACCAATATTTTAAAATTTAGTCCAAACCGCGATCAAACCGGTGATCCGATAATTCACTTTTGATTTTTTGAAAATATTCATATATAAAAATTACTAAAACCCAAAATTAACCGACTGAACTGGTGAATAACTGATATGTAATATTTAAACATGTGAACATAAATTTATTTTCGTTGTTTTCTATATTATTTGAATTTTTTTATTTAGCAAAATATTTTAAAAAAATTGTGAGAAATTATTAAAAAGGATGAGATCTAATATTTTTTATTGTTTGAATATAAGATTAACTGTATTGTTGTTTGGAAACATGGATAGTATTATAAAGAAATGAATATATTGTTTGAAAACATGGATAATAGTATAAAGAAATAAATATATTGTTTGGAAATATGGATAGCAGTATAAAAAATGAATATGATTAATGTAACTTTGACTATAAAGTATAAATGTATTTAATTTAAAAATTTACAAAATAAATATTAGGTCCAGGTTAATATTTCTGATTTAATAAGATAGATTTTCTTTGAATCACAAAAGCAAATTGAACTGAAATTGTTGGCCTATCAAGACAATCATCAGCCTACGAGGTCTATGGAATGAAAATCTTATAGAGGAGTCTAAGTAAAAGATAAATCAAAATCAAGAATATAAGAAATATTAAAACTTCTGCAGTGAAAAAAATATAAGGTTTATTAATGTTATTAAATTCGTGGAAGTTTTGAACTTTTGACCTATATTTTGCTAAGATCAGTTGTATTTAAACAATAACATTTTGTATCAAAAAGGTGAATATGAAGCATAAGAGAACTAAATCTCTTGTATATAGCAATCCATGATTACAACTATACCTTTAGATTTTGTATTTTTTTAATGTATCTTGTTTAAATACAACTATTATGGTTTAGATGGACATGAGAACGTTTACATCATTATATCCATTGAAGCTTATTTAAGTGAAGATTATTTGAGCTTGAGTGTGTTGCATTTAAAAAAGTGACAAATAACCTAAATAGTAATATGGGATCAGTTTTCAATTCAAAACACACACATCATATTTTGGACCTCTCTTTCCAGGTGTTTTCCCGGTCATCCTTCTATTTTCTTCATTCGTTTTCTTTATTCGTTGTAAAGACATTTGAATTTTATCTGACTAAGAATAAGTTTTTTCTCTCTCATAAATATGAAATGTGATAAATCAATACATTTTAATGATTTGTGTAAATATATATTCTTTCATTTGATGAAATGGTGTTGTCGTATAGTTTGAGGCAAATGATCTATTTTCTCTTAAATAATGAAATTGCAGAATTACGAAAGAGTTCTGAAATTATTCAGATTTGAATTGATTCTTTCAAGGTGTATTAAGATTACACAAGCCTCAAGACTTCATGTATGTTAGTATCAAACATCTGATCTGGAGAAGTTTAAACTAAGCAGAAGATAAAATTTTGTATTTAGATTTTTTATAGCTCGACTAACTATAATCAACCCAAAATGGACTATATATATCCATTCCTATTGGTAGTGGATAGCGTCAAATTGTACTACTAATAGTTTGTGCAATTTTCTTTGTCGATTAATAGAACGGTTAGAGTAGATATTGCCTTGGAAAAATGAAAATCACTTATGTATCATTCATGAAAAGAAAAGAGATTTCTTTTTTTTACAAAGAAAAGAAAAGAGAGTTGAACGACAAAGCATGTTTTAAAAAGTATTTCATCTAAATGAACATAATTAACGTACGTTACTAAACGAAAAAGAAAGTGTTAAAGATGAAAGAAAGGGTAAAGGAAGAAGAAAAGAAAAAGGAAAGCACTAATCAATGTTCATGTTTCTCTTGTGTTCTCAGATTCCTCTTTTTTATAGTACTAGTTTTCTCACTGAAACTTTTATACTACATCTATATAGTCGCAAAAAAAGAACAACTTTTAATTACTTTTAAAAGAGATCGACTTTTCCGTTAAATATAAGTGAGGGAAAAGATCAGTAAACTTATTCAAAAGGGAATATAAATGTGTGTAAATATATATGTAGAAGAATAATTTTATCCATTTCGCTATTATGCATATCAAAAAAGTATTCTGATTATTAACAACTGGATTCATAATCCTCTCAAGGTGTTGCATTTAAGTTTATATCGCACACTGAAATTAAAAAATATTGCACTAATTTAATTTGTTAATTATAATTTTGTAAGCAAACTTAATATTATACGCACACACATTAACTATATACAATTGTGTGTTCTTCAATCTAGAATTGTGATCACATGTTCCACGAATTATATGGAATACCTACTAATACATATTTCATTGCGTACTGTATATATTTCTTAAAAAAAATGCGCACTATAATTTATAATGAAAAAACAAAGGACGTTTAGTCATGTTCCGCATGCATAAAAGTTTAAAAGTAAAAACTATATATGCGTAACGTAGAGATATATGGACACATTTATTTGTTGTAATTTTAACGGTATCTTTTCTTACTTCTGAGGCCAATTGTTTTTATTTCTTTCTCTAGGGTTTCAATGGATTTGGTGACTAACTTTTGTTGGTTGCTCACTTTTTTTTCTCCTTTCAAGTCTTAATCTTTTCAGTATGTGCTTCCTTTGGGTTTAAAAAACTCACTTTATAAAAAGCTCCTTTTAAAAGAAAGCAAAATCTTTTGTATGGGTTTTGTTCTTTAATCATATCTTAATAAAGAATTTTTAAAAATTTGCCCCAAAAAATAAAATAAAGAATTCTAATATTAATTAGACTAGTCTCTCTTTAGTTAAAAAAAAAACTCTCTTTATTTTCGTTCAAAAAGTGTCTATTATAGATATGACGACTGGTACCTGACTGAACTTGTATATAAAATGAATAATTATCCATTTCTATCCCAACTTGTCGGACTATCTATATATATATATATATTTACTACTAGCGGTATTTTAAACAAATCAGAGGATCAAATTTGATTTAAGTTTTTGACATAATCTTGCATATAGTGTGGATTAATTCTAGAATCTTATGTTTGCAATTTTGGAAATGGTTATATAGATATGTTGATATTTATATGAAGTTTCTTTCCGAGGGTTCCAACTTTTAATACTAATGGATCCATATTCCACAATTTAAAAAAGACATCCAATACAATTAAGACTGTTTACTTTTGCTAGATAAAGTGGAAGGGATTAGTAAAATAAACTTTATAAATCTGTAGTTTA